GGGTTTTAGGGTTTTAAATCCCAAAATCAATTTGGGAAAGAAGAAGGTACGGTAGTAAACAATAACTTCTCTTAGTCAGATTAACACTGTTAATGTCGAAATAGTAAAACATTTTAAAAGTTCGAATATATAAAAAACAATCTTAAATAGTTGGTGTATTTATCGAGTAGCCAAAAAAATATGGATATTTTTTATTAAATTAAATTAAATTTGGATATTTTTCGAGAATTTTCCCAAGAATTAAGGTACGCAAATTTAGGATTTTTGTGATTTTAAATGCAAGTAATTAGATCCAATAAAATACCAAAAACATTAGTTTTTTTTTAGATTTCTCAATTATTCATAGTTAGAATTAGTAAGATAACTCCTAAAAGTAATTGTCATTGTTTTCTTTCATCCTAGAACTCAAACCATTGTGATAAGATTAACCTAATTTTTAAATACTTCAGCTTGATTTTTGATTCGTCCGAAGCAAGTACTTTATATATCAAGTACTCGTCCAAAATTCTATTACTTACAAATAACTTGGTTCGGCTTGTTACTTGCCAAAATTATATATTTGCTATTTGAAAATTTCAATATAAAATAGTCTCAATTACAAAACATTCAAAGAAAAAACATCATAAAATCATAAAACGTTAAAGTTCCAAACATTTAAAAATACAAATTTTTGGTTCAATACTCCACATTATAGTAATCTATTTCTTGATTCTTTTTTTGTTCTATAAAACCGTATGAATAATCATAACATTTATGCATATAAACCTGAAAATGATTTAATTTGGTTATATCGTCAAATGTCAAAAACCTTAACCAATAAATATTATAGTAATATTAATGAATATGAAATATTTTTTTACGAATATTATTAACGAATATTAAATCAAGTAATATAAACGAGAATACGGATCAAATAATAAAAAAAAAATTATTGATTTGATCTTTAACCCGGGTTTGCAAATAATGTACCAGATTTGCTAATAATGTAATATATTAACTTGTCATTCGATTTGATCGAAACAAATATAACGAGTATTTATGCCCAAACTTAATTTCTCATTCCATTTCAGATGCTCTAAGTTTGTTATCAATCAAACACCGTATATTTTACTTATTTTGTATGAAGTATAAATGCGGATGGTACTTTTTAAAGTGAGGCCCCCTAGTAATAAATTATACTTAAATACACTTATTTATTGAACATTAAAGTAGACGCATCACCACCGTTAAAATCCAACGAGATGGTGAAATCCAACCGCCACTTGTAACAGAAACCTTACAGACACATCCCAAAGACAGAAGCAGACACGTGAACGGAGATGGAATACGGTTTATGTACAAAAGCAAACCTCCCCGTCACTTTATCAACTCCGATATAAAACAAAATTGTCAAAAAGCTAAAGCAAATAGACACGTGGCGGAAGATCTGGACACCATATATACATCACCCGCATGTTACTCCATCATTTTCCCTCTGCCTCGCTTTTTAACGGTGCTGACTTTTTGACTCACCACTGTACAACCTGCGAGTTACAAAAATAACACGACACGTGTGAACCACGGACTTCTTATATGAACCCTCCGATCATCGATCTGAATCTAAAACCGACGGCTACGAATAAAAACAGTTAAAATCTTTGGGTTTTAGAGAGATCAAAATTTTTATACCATATGCACAATAAAGGAAGGTCGTTGATTTGGTAAAAAAAGAATAAATCTTTTGTTTTTTTTATTTAATCCACGCGCCAACTAGACACAGAGCCACGTATTCCTTCCTTTGAGCTTCGTTATTATCGCTGACACATAAATCAAAATATTCGGTAATTATATTAATAACTGAACTAAACCAACTATAAACCGGTTCCAAATTCAGCCGGTCCAAGACATAACTGGTTTCAGAAATCAGAAGTTATTACAATCCTAAAAGCTGACCATATCAAATGTTAGTATTAAACACAAACTAAGTCTATGACTCGATCCTTTATAATTCTAGAGATCTTTAAGTAATTTAATCATATGATTTCGTGAAAGTTAAGATTATAATTTTACATACCAGTCGTAGACCGAAGGAGAATTTGGGTGGTTAGGTTTATCAAAGACGTTGGAGCCAATGGATCTTGTGGCGAGGTTGCTTCCCGGATTAAAGACACTCCTCCACACGTTATCCTTACGTGGCGTCGTCGGAGTGGTCGGAGTGGTCGGAGTTCCGGGGCTTACCGTCGCCGGCATAGTCAACGACCTATGCATCACCTTGCTGCTTCCTTCTCCTATATATATATATCCATAATCACAACACCAACTAATTAATATCTTATTTCTATTTCTTGATTAGTTGATTAATAATCACTAAGTGTTTAAATAAACAAGATATATTTTACCTTTGATATTAATGGGTTGGGTTGTGTTCTTACGGAGGCGGCCAAGGCCACGGTCAGGCTGAGGTCCAGCGACCACATCATCCCAAAGCTTCTCTAGCAGAACCATC